CCTGCCATGGTATATAAATCCATGGATCGACCATGGGACTTCTTTTGTAGCGCTGAATACATTATCATTACTACACTATACGTATGTCAGTACCAGAAGCGGGAAAATGCACGACCATACCAGGGTTCGAACCCGTGACCCTCCGAACTCTAGATGGACGCTCTACTAGTTGAGCAGCCTGGTCGCCGATGATCGACCCAGTCCTGTTCCGCTACACATATATCCATATTATCAGTCAGAACATCTGTACTGACCTGTAAGCTGCAGAAATGTTGACACATTGTTTATGACGTTTTATTCTTTATTTAACCAGTGACAAACACGTATGATCTCTTTTTACATATGAATTTTATTTACACGAAATGGTTCCTTTGTAAAATACAATTATGAAACATTACAGTGTGTACTTCCTAGCTGCTATAGAGTGTATCTGGGTTTGCTTTATTAATGTACCAGTCTCTGGCAAGAGCCCATTCTAGTTCCAAGAAGCATAATTTGACATAAAATATCAACGTTCAATATTTGATAATTTTTTAACATATTTTTTCATCTTTTAACAATGATCTACTTGAGTGCAATTTAGAGAATAAACGAGTTTTATTTTAAAATAGGAGATATGTATCCGAGCCAGGTGCAGTTGCTGTGTTTATTGATACTTGGATCTTTACCCTGGTATCTTTGTAAATCACTGATCACATTGCATCAATGTCCTTCACTTGAAACACATAAGTAAAGACAATTTATTTGCCATGTTTGCCTGCCAGTTAGAGATATTTGAGAAATCTTTCATTTTTCTGTGATGGTAACAACTGATTTGCATATCTATGAGTATTGTTAAGCATAAGATACGGCAGAAACGTCTTTATTCTATTCTCTGATTATCAAAACATAGGTAGTAGACATTTCATTTGTTATGTTTACGTGTCTAGACACTCAAAAAAACAATTAAGCGAGGGATGGATTTTAACCCCGTTAGGAAACTACTGATTTGTATCCGATTCAGCCTTCTTATAGAAGTATCAGGCATCAACACTATTGTGCATTCTCGAACGATACTTCCACACGGATTCCGACATCATCAGTATCGTACGAGAATCTACATGTCGTCAAGCCAACAACAGCTGGTCACTGTAAGTCAGTTATTCCTCTGAATTTAATGTCCTGAAACTGTCGCTCGGTGAAGAATAAGTCATTGTCCGTCGGGGATTTTGTAACATCTCAGGACATTGACATTAATCTTGCATTGACAGAAACCTGGTTAGGTTCAGATATCGATGACCATGTACTAGCTGAGCTAATACCAGCAGGCTATAGATTCCTCCACAATGCTAGACTCGGCAAACGGGGTGGTGGGATGGCTGTTCTGTTTAAGAAAGGCCTAGCGTAGTGTGAGACATCTCTCTTCCAGCCATGATGATGTATACACACACTTTGAGCACATGACTTGCTCTGTCATTGCTGGTGATAAACAATTAAGTTTGTGTATCATTTACAGGCCTCCTCCATCTAAACAGAATGCTTTCCGAAATACAGTGGTTTTTTTTAATAAATGGTCTACCTTTTTTTTAGACCACCAAGTTGTTGTACCACAAGAGATTATTATCACGGGTGACCTAAATTGCCACTTAGACGATCTATCTAAAGGTGATGTTCGCCAGTTCTCTGGGCTTCTAGATTCCAGGGATCTGATTCAGCATGTGACAGAAGCTACACACACCCATGGCCATCCACTGGATGTGGTTATAACGAGGGAAGATAATTCAGTCATTCTTGGATCAATTTCAGGGATTGATCCATGTCTAAGTGATGTAAAAAGGAACCAATCCGATGATCATCTTGCTGTCCACGCAACACTGAATTGTAGTAAGCCAGATCGTGCAAGGAAAGAAGTGAGCTTCTGGAAATTCCGCGAAATTTCAATACCAGATTTCAACAATGACATTCAGTCTTTTTCCGCCATTCAATCAACTGAAGGCGGGGTTGATGATCTTGTTGAAGCATACACATCTGGTATAGAAGCCCTTATATAGAAACACACACCTCTGAAGATTAAAGTGATAACTGTGTGCCCTGTGGTATAATAAAAATATCCGCGTAGAAAAACAGAACCGTAGAAAAGCAGAGAGACAGTGGCGACGGACCAAATTAACCGTTCACCAACAGATTTATAGGGAACAATGTCGGCTGGTTGGTTCACTTCTCATTCAGTCAAAGAAGACTGATTATTCGGAAAGAATCGAAGAATGTGGTAAGTATCATAGGCAGCTATTTAGACTCAATAAAACGTAATTGGCCAGAAAGGTCAAATTATTCTACAAAGCTATAATTCTGAAAAAGACTTATCAAACAAGTTCGATGATTACTTTCTGAATAAAATCAGCTCAATCAGGAAAAAAATATTGCATACTTTGGCATACTTTATAAACGTCTGGAATACTCTTATGGAGTGACTGATACCGCACTATGCTGGATACAGTCTTATCTGAGTGAACGACGACAGTGTGTTGCCATCGGATCTACCACCTCACATGACAAAGTACTAGATTTCGGGGTTCCTCAAGGGTCGGTGTTAGGACAACACAAATATTGCCTGTATATTTGTCGTGGCCAAAGTCTTCGCTATCATTGCTATGCTGATGACACACAAATATACATGGTCATCAAACCACAGGACAGTTGGGATACAGTTTCAGAAAATCTGGAAGCTTGTCTGACAGATATCAGTACCTGGATGAACGCCAACATGATAAAGCTTAACAGGAAAAGACGGAACTAATCGTCTTTTCCCCAAAATGTCAGCAAACAATGGCTCTCCAGCTCAAGGTCGGTGCCAGAACTATGAAGACTGTCCCAGCTGATAAAAACCTAGGGGTACACTTTGATAGTTCATTGAACATGGAGAAACAAGTGAACGCTATTGCCAAATCCTGTTACTACCAGATCAGGCACATCGGCCGTATTTTGCAGTTTATAACTGAAGATGCATGCAAGATTTTGGTGCATTCACTTGTTACCTCTCGGTTGGATTATTTGACAAACTGACTATAGTCGCCTGCAGAGGGTCCAGAACACTGCAGCACGGCTGGTTAGTCGTACTCGAAAGAGAGAGCACATCACACCTGTGCTATATGCATTGCAGTGGTTACCTGTACGATACAGGTCACAGTACAAAAGTTTGGTGTACACATACAAGACACTGAATGGAACAGCTCATCAGTACTTACAGGAGCTTGTTACCCGGTATCAGCCGTCACGATCACTGCGGTCGGTGCAGAATCATTGTTGTGTGTCCCAAAATCTCGTACTGTGACCTATGGAAACCGTTGCTTTGGGAGGGTTTCGGCCACGTTGTGGAACAGCTTACCATCTGCTATTAAAAAGTCAAATACCCTGGCCAAATTCAAGAGGGATATCAAAACTCACCTCTTCACATCTGCATTTTAGGGTCTGTTTGATTACATGTTGTGTGTGTGTATGTGCACATTGCTTGCTTAAATGTATAAAAGTGATTGTAAGCCTTTGTTTCACAATTATAACTATTACTATTATCCATATGTTGTAAAGCGCTTTAGAGTAATTTTACAAATTAGATAGGGCGCTATATTATTATTATTATGATGTAATAGTTATCGCGATCTTGCGTTCCAGTATGATATATGTATCTGAGTTGCCAATGCTTGGAGGAAACATGAAGATTTGTTTACCACATGCATTCTTATTGCTCGAGGGGGTTAATAATTTAAATATTTTACATATTTCCGCAGAGGTTTACTGATACATGTACAGTGTATATCATTGTATCTAAATTGTTCATTTACAAGCATGTTGGGTCACAGGGGCACGGTTCAATTTATCAATTTATATCTGAGGCCTCCTTGTTTACCATACGTAAACAATGAGGCCTCGTATATAAATTGTTAAACAAGGATAACAATTTTGACAAAGATGGCCGCCACGGCCTCTGATTGGTCGAATCAAATATTGGTCGATTTTGCTCAAATTCCATATGTAGGTCTATATTGGCACTGCGAACATAACTGCGGGGGTTTGGGGGACTGCTGTAATGGTGCCCCATTACAATTAGTACTTGTTATTATTATTTCCTCCAAATGAACATTACAGATACATTTAATACTAATAAAGACAAAATAATACAACAGAAAAATCAGAACTATGGATAATTACATACATGTCACAAAATGTGTATGTATATATCATTGGAACATGTGAATAAATAGAATGTAATGAATACGTTTGTAGTTATCAATTAAACATAGTGATATACAGGGTAACTTTCAAATCAGCTGCTGTCAATTCTTAACATTGTATAGACACTTGCCACAGAAGTAATTCTATATTCTTCCAATTAATTATTTTCTAAACTGAAGTTAACTTCGCCTTCAAGTAAATGAAAGATGATTTCATTTTCTGGTAACGAATGCATATAATGACTAAATATCAGGTCGTGTATATAGATACGTGTATATATTGGCTATGTACATCCATAACTTATCTGTAACAGTATCCGTAAAATCACATCTTAATACAACATGTTCTGTATGATCTTGGTAGAGCTCACCACACCTGTGACAAAGGCTTGTAGTATGACTGTTTCTAATGGTTACAATACGATTCATCACAACATGGATCTTATCACTGTACATGGTGTTGGATAACAACTATCAACAGTGCATGCGGTTGTGACTTATTGTGGTTATGAACGTATTTGCAAAAATCTTTTGAGGTACGTTCCTAAAATAATTTTCCTGTTTGTTTGAAATAGACACTTCCACTATAGTTTTCCAATTTCTCTTATAAGGAAAATCACAAGTATCTATAAATTCATGCACATATTAATTTGTACAGTTTATACTTTTGATGTACAATGATGTTCGCATTCTATACTGTGGTTTACTTTCGGAATTCGATATTTGGTTAATAACGTCAGAGAGCTTCTGTTCGGATCGGAATCGTTACAGCGTTTGTTAGTTAGGTAGAAGTGAAGCTGTAATTCAACGATGTAAAAATATACACGTGCTTTTAAAAATCAGCACTAGACCTTATTCTAAAAATTCGAAAGAAGAAGGCCTGAAAATGAACGACCGAAATGACGATTTAATGAAATTTTTCTGGAAATTAGCTGAATATGATGAAAATTGCACAGTGAAAACTACAAAACAGCTATTGAGAAAGTTGGAAGATTCACAAAAGGACTACGTAAGTGTCTATTTTAGCTCCAGACGTTCGGGCAGCTGGTTGAAGCAAAGGTGTTTAGCACGCTCATTAGTCAAAGATCGATTATGACATACTATATATAGATTAAACACTTTTGGTTGCAGGGTGACATATCGGGATAACCCCGCTTTCATCCAATTATCTTGCCATCCCGATGATCCTAGCGCCCGGATGTGTACTACTAAAGTGTCAAAAATGTGGTCAGCACATTTCCTTACATCACTGTAAAGTCTGTTCTAGGATAACCCGTTAAGTAACATATCTTTCTACCCTGCAATCGATTGCCTGGTAACAACAGTGAACAGGATAGGTTTGGCACAGTAACTGTTACCCAAAGACAGGATTATTGACCCCATAGATCGGTTGTCAGTCAGATAAATAAATTTATCTTCGTCTTGGATTTTGTAAACACTCTGCCACAGGCTAGTCACAAAAGTGGGGCCTTTTTGTTAAACAGACAAACGGGTTCATCAATTTTGTAAATGGGATACTGGCATGCTATATCGGGGCGAACAGGACTTCAGGCAAAATGATCTGACACGCGCCTGCCCGACATGCAACTTTAATGCAGGCTTTCAAAGTCTTGTCTAAGGCTCACCAGAAATCAACATCGAATCATGTGGTGCATCTGGCCTATTTCATAAACAAACAACTCTGGTCCAACCTTTTGGAATATGGTAAACAAAAGTAGCATTGGTGTGCAAGGGTGGGGAAGACCTTTTTAAAGTACTTTTCTCCCAGGCAAATGACCTGCTATAATGTACATTTTCACTTGCCCAGATAATATCACTAAATTGGAGCATGTTCTTGTAAAATATAGTTCCAGTGATAGAGCCTACACAGTTTCTCTATTTAGGTTTGGTTGGTTCTGTTTATCCCTTGCTTAGATACCACCCGGTAAGCTGGGTGATTGGTGAATAGGGGTAACTAAGTGTAGAATTCAATCGCAACAAGCTCGGGAAAAGTTGATTTTTTTTTTATTAGGAAACATAACATTAGACTGGTTTTGCCCGAACAGCAGGCTTTTTCATTAATACTAGGTGTCTGCTAGTGCTAATATGTAAACATATTTCATAAACTGCCAACATTCATGATTGATGAATCCTTATGGCGTTTTGGTACTAGGTAGTTCCAGTACCTGAAAAGGATGTTTCAGTATATTTTTGTAAAGATGGAAATGCTGAAAAAGTGGTGAATTCCAAGAAATTGTGAAACAAAAGTCAGACCTAAATATTACTAGAAATGATCTAATTGAAAATGACGATGGATCAGTTGCATATCATATAGTAAGGCCTGTCACTGTATCCTTATTTAATTCTTCCAACAAACAAATAGCATCGTAAGCTTTATTCGTCTGGTGGTGAAATGAACTCACCTAGATAAGCAGTCAAGTGCTTTTCTCCACCCCTGGGTGTGGTAGTCACGATATCATGACTGTCCAACCAGGTATTTCTGTTGTGCTTGTCAGCAATTTGACTTCTTTGCAATGCAACTTATAACAATGATTGTCATGCGATACTCCCCAGATCCATCCTTTGTCCATGAGAATAAGATACTGTAATAGCTGAAGACAAAAATTTTGATACATTTTCTACTTGCTGATTCAATTTTAGCAAATCTGGATCCATCAAATCACTAAATTAAAGCTTTACTGAATTGAGATACTCTGTTAAAATATATATTGCACTTTTGTAATGATGAATTGTGTAATGTATCAATGTATTGTATTGCAATAAAGGTATTACAATATGTTGGTTATTCATTAAAGATGCACTAAGCTAGCCATACAAAGATTCAAGCTAACCATACAAAGTTTCAACCTTATGCACAAATGTCAAGAATTATTTGTAAGATATCCTTGATGTGTTTTTTTAAGGACTCGGTGGGAAAGGATTTGAAATACACACTGCGAAGACTTGTGAAGGGTGTATCCTCCAACCGAAACTGTGCCCGACAAGGTTTCTCTGTGGCACTGTGTCAGGTATGTCAGGGTCAACAGAGCTTTAAAGACATGTTTTCATTAATAAAAGGGTAATTATATATGAAAAGGTCGTTTCAGTGTCATGAATGATGCTTAGCCCATTGTCAAGTTATTTATAGTCACTTAGCCCATTGTCATGTTATTTATAGTCACTTAGCCCATTGTCAAGTTATTTATAGTCGCTTAGCCCATTGTCAAGTTATTTATAGTCACTTAGCCCATTTTTATATAATAGTAATATAGTTATAGAGAAGACCTCATGGAAGGATGGGTTTGTAAGTAATTAGTTGCCTTCTATAAGTAAAGCATCATTATTATCGTGTTTGTTTTTCTGCAGATTTTGCGGAAATTTACTGTCATCAGTCCAGAAAAGGTGCTAGCCTCAGTAACCAAACATCTCCAGCTGTCAAAGCAGGATGGCAAAGCTGTAAGTTAATGTACATTATATGTAATCGAGACCTCATCCATCCGATATCAGTAGATTGTTTTGATATTATAAACAAGTGTTACAATATCGGGCGGTAAGTAATACAGGATTACAGCTAGACAAGAAACACAACAATGATGTGTATATATTTGTATGAAGTTGTTATAATTATTACAAACACAGACACCACAGTGAGCAAATGAGCCCCCAATATTACATTATGAGTTCATTAATTATCTACATGGAATTGCTTTTTATTTGCATTTTGTTGAAAAAAGCTTTATATTTACTGAAATACATACCTGTACTTGTTTAAACTTTTCACTCTATCCGTTGATTTATTTCCAGGATACTGGAAGTATCCTCCTAGGGAGAGCGATGGTGTACATGGCTCTGATCCAGTCGGGGAGACTGGCACAGGTAAGTCTTTACACAGGTGTGTGTAATATAATGTGAGTGTAGGTTTTGACCAAAACATATATATAATCTCCATTATTTTATAAAGAATATTAAACATCATCCACCTTTATTGGCTCTACAATTTAGCATATCTGATCACTCCCATTAGTGAGGGTAATTGTTTTGTCTGTAATGCCTTGTTTTAGTGTTAATCTTGTAATTCATGAAGTTATATAAGATATTATTAAGTTATGAACAGAAGGTTGCATGAACCTGGTATACTAAGATTGTATGAATGTATTGCTCAGGAAATGAATGGTATTTTTTGAAGGGTTCTGCTGAATGCATTAAAACAGTGGCTGGTCATCTTCAAGACATGAAAAGAAAACGTTCCTATCTCCAACAGATCTGTATTGGTGCCATTATTCAACTCATAGCCCAGGTACACCTCATTCTCTCATTAAAGATTAATATGTTTTCTTCCCACTGTATATTCTGTAATACCTAGGCAAAAGACATTAGGTGATCATTTCTGCATGCTTTATTAGATTTTGACATCAGATTTGTAAAGATTGTAGGACATACTTGAAGAATAACCTTTTTGTAATCAGCTGCACTGATGATGTCTGTTTAATCTTCATTGTGCCTTCTAATGCTATGATGATTCTTTGTAAAATTAGATGTAATATGTGACAGCTTTAAGCCAATCAATTTTGAACTCTCCTTTTTGAGTATACTGTTAAATGTTTACATAATCAGTTACTGATCCTCTCTAGAATCATAGAGGGTCAGTTACCATACCCTCACCACCTAAATATGTTACCTTACCCTCACCCCTAAGCATCTTACCTTACCCTCACCCTCAAAACATTTTACCACACTCCCTCCTTAAATAGCTTACCTCACCCTCACCCTCAAAACATCTTACCACACTCCCACCTTAAATAGCTTACCTTACCCTCACCCTCTCAAATTAAGGATACTTTATGAAATTAGATGTAATATGTGACAGCTTTAAACCAATTAATTTTGAACTCTCCTTTTTGAGTATACTGTTATTAGTTACATAATCAGTTACCGATCCTCTCTAGAATCATAGAGGGTCAGTAAGATGTGTAGAGGGTGAGGGCACAGTCTGAGCTTTCGCTGAATCTTACCATACCCTCACCCCCTAACCATCTTACCATACCCTCACCCCCTAACCATCTTACCATACCCTCACCCCCTAATCATCTTACCACATCCTCACCCCCTAATCATCTTACCATACCCTCACCCCCTAAACATCTTACCATACTCTCACCCCCTAACCATCTTACCATACCCTCACCCCCTAAACATCTTACCACATCCTCACCCCCTAAACATCTTACCACATCCTCACCCCGTAAACATCTTACCATACCCTCACCCCCTAAACATCTTACCATATTCTCACCCCCTAAACATCTTGCCATGCCTTCACCCACTAAACATCTTACCATACCCTCACCCCCTAAATATCTTGCCTTACCCTCACATCCTAAACATCTTTTCATACTCTACTCCTCTAAACATCTTATCATACCCTCGCCACCTAAACATTATACCCTCACACCCTAAACATCTTATCATACTCTTTATCCCCTAAACATCTTACTACACCCTCATCACCCAAACATTCTAACCATACCCTCGCCACCTAATCATTATACCCTCACACCCTAAACATCTTACCATACCCTCACACCCTAAATATCTTGCCTTACCCTCACATCCTAAACATATTATCATACTCTTATCCCCTAAATATTTCACCATACCCTCGCCACCTAAACATTATACCCTCACACCCTAAACATCTTACTGACTTCGCTATATGAAAATGTTGAAAAGTCTTGCTCATATATAAAACGTGATTAAAACATCCTTATTATCAACCTCGCACCCAAATTCGTTTAAAACCAGAAGAAGACTTTTCTGTTGGTAGCAATATTTAGTTACTACAATTATTTGGTCTTAGCCCTTTCAACCCTATGTAACTTTAGTAGACTCTACCATGCATTGACCTGGATGAGTCCATTATGGTCTACAGTGGTGAAAGGGTTAATGGAAGCTCTAAAAATTCTTACTGGCTCACTATAATTTCATAGAGGGTTACCATGTGACAATTATTGGCCAATGAATGAAAAGCATTCTTGTTCAGTCCAAAGTGCAATGAAAATACATAATGATCACTTTCAAGTTTCAAAGAGACATGCTTTCTGTTTAATGTAGAGTTGATTTACCATTGTACAAACATCCCAATAGGTTGATACCGAGAAGTTCCAGGAATGTGTGCTGCCATGTATACAGAAAGAGCTGATGCAGGGCTGGGACAAGTGTTCTCCAGATTCCCTACTGCTGTTACTGGTGTGTCGCAAAAAATACAAGGTAAACACTACCCTATAGGTGAATCAGTGTTAGGTCGCCTTTTCTGTGTGTTCAGAGGATAGGTAAATTTCACCGAAGTGGGTTTTAAAATGAGTCCACATGTTTAATAATACTGGTAATAGAGATATACTATATCCATATGTTATATGGTGAAAATCTATCCTACACATATGAATGAGACAATGAAGATATCAATTTCTCCCACCCTTTACAGGCAAGTCTCTCGTTTTAACCGGGAAAGATCAGCTTGCCACCTCCTAGGGGAAGATGGCCTCGTGCCCATTAACATGTGTTCAATTGTGACGTCATTAAAATGTGTCACTGGTAATTGTGACGTCATCAAAAGTGAATGTCGATATGCATACCCCGTATGTGTTTCTGTTAATAAGCAAGGCAGACTACTTACTGTTGATGGAGTTGTGACTGAATTATTAGGATGGGAGAAAATAATCATCCACTACCTTGAGGGTGTAACAGAGATATATCCAACCCGAGGGGTGATTTGTTTTGGTTGTTTAAACCTCGGCAGAGCCACAGGTTAGACAGCCAAAAAACATCACCCCTCGGCTAGGAGATTTCTCTGTCACACCCTTAAGATAGGGGAAGATTCTATTAATCATTTGGTTTGGTTTGTTTGTGGGTTACGTCCTATTAACAGCTAGAGTGGTTTGAGGATGTGCCAGGTTTTGGCGATGGAGGAAAGCCTGTTACCCGGAGAAAATCTACTGATCTGCAGCCAGTACCTTGCGACTGCCCCATGTAGGCTTCGAAACCCGCAACCCAGTGGTGGTGGGCTAGTGATCGTAGACAGCCAGACGCCATAACCACCTGGTCACCACAGCCCTATCATCATCATACAACACTTATAATATGGCATTGGTATTTTGTGGAGTTTTCTTCACACAGAAGTATGGGAAAATAAATATAAAGACTTATTTTTGCATGTACAAAGTACACCTGTACCGATACCCGTTGCATATATTTTCATATTTTCAGAATCTGATTGGAAAATCGTTTCTCAAAGAGCATTGGAGTCGACCCAAAATCATCACAGAGAAAAACTTTGATAACATATGGCGTGTTGTGTTAGTAAGTATGACAATAAATGATATCACACTTGTTCATCATTCTAAAATAATATAGGAATCTCTACACCAGAAGTACGTTCTGTGTTTCACAAAACATCCCTGTGGTGTCGAGATTCCTTTATTCTTTTAGTATGTTTTATTAGTAAGGCTCTCTATATAATCCACTCACGGATCCACCCTAGGACGTTACCGCAAAGTTCTACATAAGGAGTGTTGGATCACCTATTATTTTTTACTTGTTCATCATGTACTGTTTGTGGACATTACAGTTCTCCTTGTTACTTAAGTTCCTCTGAGGGTTCAGGGGAGGAGGGGATCGCCTTATGCATCCAATTAAGACTACTAATGTAGGACAAGATGTATTCTGAGGGACCTCTTCTTCTCTTACCCTGGACAGGTGTATCTGCACTTTTACCGGTGTGATATTTCCTTGTCTCACCCTAGGGTTGAGACGGGGGGATTCCCCTATTCATAACAATGGTATGACGTCACTTTGACAATACAATGACGTCACGTTGACAATACAATGACGTCACGTCACAATCCATCAACATAACGTCAACCCTGAATTTAGCATGTAACGTTATCATTACAATGTGTATACGAAACACAATGGGAGAACAGGGTAAGAGAAAAATAATCATTCACCCCCTTGTGGGTAAGATAGGGAATCTCAACCCTCGGGGAAAGATTCTTAAGTTGCCAAACATAAGAATCTTCCCCCTCAGGTTAAGATTCCCCTATCTCGCCCCCAAGGGGGTGAACAATTCTATTATTCTGTGTCCTCAGCTCAGGAGAATTTGAAGAAACCAAATTCATCTGTTACATCAATGGTAATACTTGATGTCTTTATTTGTCCTGACTGGTACTCAATCAGTCGGTCAGTCTTTGTGCCACTATGTCGAGGGCATATCTCGTATACTCTTGTCACATACAAATTACGAATTTCTACTTGCAGTAGAGGAGTTACTTTTGTGACTTGTACTGAAATAGGGTCTCATACCCCACTGTATAGTGTACAGAGTTATGGCCTCATTTCTGACACTTTGTCTGGAGGACAGGGGGGGGG